TCCTGCCCTTCCTCCTGCCTGAACACAACAGTGGCAGAGACATTGGGGTTTACTCTTCCTTTCCCTGATGTCCCTCTGTGCCCCACATCGTGGCCTTTACTGATCTTACTGCACCATGAGACCATGGAAAACTTTGTCCCTGTAGAAAGAATGCAAAGTAACAAGGGAAAGAATTAAGCTGCTGAAAGGCATCTGGTTTTGCTGCAAGAAGGCACAGCTCAGCCACGTACTGCTCCTGCAGGAGTGGGGGGAACAGCCCTTCCTCTGCCAATTCTTTGGCAGCCCCCCATCCTTGAGATTGGATGACCTGTTGCCAGTTTTTATGTATTCATGCTATAGCAAGTTTTGTCACTAACAGACCCTGGGTGCGTGCTGAGGAGCTCTTGTACAGCATACTCTCTCCCTTCCTGTTGAAAGCTGAGCTTTCTTGTTTTGCTAACCAGCACAGCAGCTGAACGAGCACAACATAATGTTCATGAATTATTGCAGGCAACGTCCATGTGCTCCCCGGTGATGTGTGGCAGGGTCATCTGCTCTCCACTATTCCAGTCTACCCAGGAAATCTCTTTCAGTGTCTATTTTTGCCTAGTATTTTTGCTTTACATCCAGTGTAGTGGTGACACATTGGTTATTTGCCTGTAATTCAGTATATTAAAGCAGCTCTAACTAGGAACATTGCTTTTTTTGCGTGGCCTTGAGTGCTGAAGTGAAACTGACCTGACTTGACTGGGTGTTTTTTCCAACAAAACAGGTTCCATGTTTTTTGGCTGAGACATTTGTGAACATTTTGCAGTCTTAGTTTGCTGGAAATTGACTTTACATGTATAATCCCACAAGTGCCTGTGCTGCTGCCAGATTTCGGCAGTGGTGGGGTGAATGTTCCCGAATGCCCATCGGCAGCCCCACGCTTCTCTTACAGTGATTTTGCAGCACTTGATAACTTTCACCATTAGGAGTTTCTCAAAGTAAGATTTCGTTTATAATGTGGTAGCCACTGTGAAAATGGAGGAAGCTGCAGTCCCAGCCCTAAAAAACTGTCAGCCTAATATTTTTTTTGTATTCTGAAGGTCCTACAAAATTCAGCTCTCGCAGACTCCTTCCAGCTGCTGCTGCTGCCCCACACATCCCTAGCAGGAAATCTTGTCCCCAAGTATCAGAATCAACTGGTGGGGCTCAGCCATCCTTGACCCACATGTCCCCCACTTGGGAGCATATTGCTGTGTCCTCATGTTGTCCTACCCAGTGTTCCCATCTTCTGCAACTGCTCACAGCTTTCCCTGTCAGTGTCTGAGAGGAGGAAGCAATGGTAGCTAACACGCTAAGCAACGCAAGCATGTGTCTGCGCCTGTTCTACACTGATGGGGGTGATATTGATCAGTCCATTAATGTAAATGTCTTGGCTGTTGTTTTTCTTGCTTATTAATCAAAATAATGCAAAATGAGGGTAAAGCATTTTTAGGGAAAAAATGAAATACCATCAACAGTGATTGAATACAGCCTACTGGAATGTGGTGGGGCTGTCTGTCTGCACCCACCAGACATGAGGATACCCACAGTAACTCGGGAAAAAGTTGAAATGCTTTATTTTGACATTTTATATATACATTTTTTTTTCTCCAAGCAGTGTTTTGAGGGAAGATTTGCCTAAATCTGTTTGATTAAAAAAAAAAAAAAAAGTAGGCAAATGTTTTGTTTGTATTTACTGACACATTTTGGTCAACTGCAAATGTCTTCTTTGAATGTACATGTTTTTGTTTTGCCTGGAAAACAAAAGGGAAGGAAGCAATTTTCAGGTACCTTGAAGTTATTTCTGCTCCCTCCACTTGGGCAGACCTTCCTGGAGCCATCAGCAGACTGAAACCACTGGGACATATATATATAATATCTGGGATATGAATGCTCCCACTGAACCAATTCACAGGTTGAAAATTGAGCTGATGCTTAAGTGCCTTGGTGGATTGAGGCTTTAGCAATAACAAATAGTACTAAGGAACAAAAATGATCAATTAAGGAACTCCTAATGAATCTTAATATCGACGTCCCTGAGTTGGGAAGGCCAGGAGCTGGAAGGCAGATTAGAGGAGGTGTGAAATCCCCTTGTTTGGTGTTTCTCACTATGTGGTAGCCACTGCTGCGTCCTGCTTGTATTTCCCCATGTTTTTTTGGTAAAGCTGAAGAGGAGGAAATTACTTGAGACAGTATTGCCACTCCTGTTCATTCCTATTACCCAAAACAGTAGGGAGAATCCAGATCTTTGTTTATGTTCCATGCACAGAATTAAAAAAAAAAAAAAAATTAAACGACAAATTGGGATGACTGGAAAAAATTACTCTCTTTTAAATTGATTGTGGTTACCTCAAACCTTGAAATACTCATTTGTTTTCTGATGTAGCTGACAGATTTTGCTATGCAGCCTGGCATTGTGTAAGAACATAATGCATGTAGTAAAGGTGAGTAACCCTTGAGGATGTCCCCACTGGTGCCAAGTGGCCCATATGCTGTCATAAACACTTTTTTTTTTTTCTTTTTCCCATGCTGATCACAAAAACCCATTTTGGGTAGATGATTACATTAGGCTCATTCATTACCTGCTGTGCTGGTCTGTGCATCTGCAGTGCAGCATCTCTGCATTGAGCTTTGAACTCCATCCCTGCGTGCTTTCTGATATTCCATATTTTCTGTCATGGGTATACAGATCTTCTGTGTGCATCCTGGAACATTTTGCCACAGAGAGAAAAATTACTCTTAAAGCTGGCTAACTTTGGGAGGGATATGGTTGATAGCTGATATTAGCCTATATGTATATATATATAATCAAGAGAAATTCCAAAAAAAATATATTTGTAGCAAAACTATCACTCCTTGTAGCAGAAGAGAAAGAAGCTGACTGGCAGATTATTCCCTATTTTTATTAATAAATGTAAAAACTAATGAGAACCACAGGTGTGCCACACTAGTGAAATTTTACAGTTCCACTGCAAACTTTAATCTTCACTTTTTCTTGAAAGCCTATCTTTGTCCTAAGGCAAAATTTTAGGCCTAGGGCTACTGAAGACCATCTTTAAACTTGCCTTGTGATTTTGAGCAATACATCATGAGAGCAGTGATGTTCAGATGATACATTGCACTAATACATCACAGGAGCACTATCGCTCTCATGATATATTAGTATAATACACTATCAGAACACTATCACTGATGTATTACTCAAAAACACAGTTTTTAACCCTCAAGAATCCTCCTCCTTTCGAAGCTGAATATACTGAAAGCTGTGGATAATGATAAGAATAAGCAATCTGATATTTGGTTTCTCTAGGGTAAGTTCATTTTTAAAAAAAAAGTGATGTTTGGAATACTCCATTAACTGAAACTTCCTTGCATTTTCATTTTAGTCACTAAGCAAATGTTTTTTATGGATTGAAGCTAACACATTATAGGGGTGTATAAATTTTCTTACAAATAGCCTAAGAAAATCTTTTTTTTTTGTTTTGGATATCATTAGAGACTTGAGCCACGTTTTGAGAACGTTTCAGTGAGGTGAATAACTTTCAGCTGATTTCCACCTCATCAAATTGACTCGGGTGCAAGCTATCTAAATTCTGTGTAAAGCATTTGGTGCTCTCTCTGATGCAGTTTTGTTTTTTCTTTTTTTTTTTTTCAGAAGGGTTTAGGAACCATCTGAAAAGATCTGGAGATGCATAAATGTGATCTGTCACTCAGATCATTTGCTGCCTTTCCTCAGTGAGGTGGTTTTGGTTCTGTTTTTTGTTTTTTTGTTTTTTTTTTTTTCTTGAAGGATTTTTCTCATCTGTTTGCTTTTTTGGGTTTGGTTTTTTTTTTTTTTTTTTCCTCAAAAGAGAGTGAAAGAGAAAGGGGAAAAGATAAAAGTCTGCTTTGCAATGTTGTAGCTGAACTTACTGCAGAGAAGCAGATAGATGAGTGTTTGTTTGATTTCCTGGTAGAGTCTGAGTCTCAAGAATCTTCAATTATCCTTCCTAAATGGTATGAAGAGACTGTGATAATCTCTTAACAGAAAGAAAAAAAAAATCAAGTTGGCAAGGTGGAAAGTCATATATTTGCTTTCTTGTCCATATTTTTGTTCCCTTTCCCCATATCTCATCAGCACTTCTGAAAAAAATACATAAATACATTATCCCTCTCTCCTGTACTGGGTAACCCAAAGCTGCCTCTGCAGCTTATGGTCCTTAGCTCTGCTGTGCCTTGAGTGATGATCCTGCTGTCAGGAGAATGACACCTGTGCCTTCCAGCTCTGCAAAACTGGGCTCATAATTCTTGTACCTCACAAGTCTTGGTGCACTGAAGCCCGTGTCCCTGCAGCATATGCCCCCAGCATGTACCTCTCATACCAATGAGGTCTTCAGCGTGTTATATTCAGGCTACAGCCTCCTGGGGGGAAGAGCAAAATGTTAAAGCCTTTTTAACCTTGTGAAAGACATTGTCTTAGCCGTGCTGCACAGCGTGGTGAGCGTCCTTTTCTGACAGCCTTTCCACCTGCGTGGTCTCCATGGCATACCAGGGGTTCCTCTGTCCCCCAGCCTGTGCAGCACAGCACCAAGCCTGGGGCTGCCCACATCAGCCCTCTGCCCATGCCTGCTACAGCCACGTCCCATCACCAGCATCTTCTTATTCCTGTCAGCTTTGAAAGCACAACACGCAGCTCCGAGGTACATTGTTGTTTCAAAGCTGTGGCTAAATACATCCCTGACTGACAACAATGAATAATTCCACAGAGCCCTAAACTTCCAGGCATTTCACTCTGAAGCTCATGTAATACAGCAGAGCTGCTTTCTCATGTTTTTCATCTTTTATATTCTCCAAAGTCGAGATACTGTTATGGAACAGGTTAATGTATTTTCCTCTGAAAATAATGCTGTGGGAGCCTGTGCATGGTTACTTGTATGTGTAGAGAATAATGCTTACAATCCAGAAAAAAAAGTCATCAGCTTGATAATCACCATTATTTTGTTTCACGTTTTCAGCATGTTCATGTCCATGTGCTTCCAAGGAGGGCTGGAGACTTCAGCAGAAATGATGATGTCTACGAGGAGGTAAGGGCTGCACTCTATTTCTTGTTCAGAGTTGGTTTTGTTGTTAGAAAATCACTTTAATGATACAGGCCCTGCCTTGAGTGGAGGTAGTTGATGGCATCTCTGCATCTTTATTGCTTGCAAAGACCCTGTGATAGCACCAAGACCTACACTGGGATTTGCTTGTGAGCTCTGGGTCAAGCTGTGGCCAGGCAGGGTCCTGAGGGAGGATGCAGTCAACGTCTTTGGTACTACAGCCCATCACTGCACACAGAGCAAGGTGACATCTCTACCAGTAGTTATGTTCTCTTGTTTTGAGGGCACAGGAAAGAATGGTGACTGTGTGGTTAGTCTGACATACAGGGAACATATCCTGCCCCAGCTGCTAGCCTGGGGTGCCAAGCTTTTGCTTCCAACAAGGGAAAATACAGGCAGCTCGTTACAAGCCAAGCACAAATTGCCTTCTGGTCTGCTTTTTGTAGGGCTCTGCTCAGGCTCTGGACAAATCACATTGTAGCCCCAAAGATGGAAATTAAAGAGGAGCAATGCATATAGATGTAATATCTGCATATGTGCAGGCTGTACAGCAGAGCTGGGGACAGAAGCTGTTCCAGTGCAACTGAATTACTGGCTTTGGTTTAAATGAACAATTGTACAGGCGTTAACAAAAAGTTTTCCCCTGCTTGACAGCTGTCACAATGAGTTAATGAAAAAATCTCACTATTGTTAGATTTACAAACGGTTCTTAGTGAGTTTGGTAGGATCCTCTATCTCAAATATGACATCTCCTTTTCCTTCTGAAAGTAATTAATATAAACTTGTTCAGTGCTACCGCAATGCCATCTGCTTGAAGGAGAATTCATGACATTTTCTGCTTTTGTATTTTTTCCTTTGTAATATATACATGAAGACAACTCCCCACTCACACACAAAAAGAAAAACAACACAGAAAAAAACTAGTGTATTTTAAAGTTTCCTAATTTCTTAAATATGCAGAAGTGGTGGAAAAAGTTTTTTGTTGACCAGTTACATGAAGTGCAGAGGCTGAGAACCCCACTAATAAGGGTAAAACTTTATAATGAGGCTGCTGAGCAAGGATATGAAATGCAAATACATGATGGTCATCTCAAATATTGCTGTGGTTAACAGCAGTTAAGCGAGGCAACTTGGAAGTGAACACCGAAACGACTGGAACAGGCTGCCCAGTGGTTGAGTCCCCATCCCTGAAAGTATTTAGAAGATGTGTAGATGTGGTGTTTAGGGACATGGTTTAGTGGTGAACTTGGCAGTGCTGGGTTAGCAGTTGGACCTGATGATCTTAAAGGTCTCTTCCAACCTAAGTGATTCTGTGATTTTTTTCTGTTTCAAATACATTAAGTGATTTTAGATTCTGCACCAGCCCACAAACTCTGTTTCTGTTTTTGTCTTATTTACAATTCCGTTTTCTTCATTTTAACACATTTATTTCTCCCTTGCTATATGTAAATAGAAACTGGCAAAACTCTGTTAATGAACTAGACTATACATTTAGTGTTGTCAAACGCAAAAGGGTGACAAATGGTGTAAAACATTTTTATCTTGTCATTTTCAGTTATAGCAATTGTAGGTGTTGCTTTTAGCAGACATAGGAAGCAAAAATATTTAGACACAGATGTGATAATATATCTTTTTAGCTGAAGAATGTATAGCCTTAGTCTAACCAGCTATTCTTGAATACCACAGAGTTAACTTATGCTTTTGTACAGATGGTAGCTGAGGAAAGATTTAATTTTTTTTAGGATGCCAGGGGGGAAAAAAAAACACTTTTAATGCTATAAAAAGTTTGATGCAAAGTTCTGTCACTGGCTGGATTGGAGGATGTGGGGCTTAAGCAGTATACTCTCATAAGTAGTTAAACCTATTTTTAAGAATACAGAACAGGCAAATTATTGAAAATACATCTGACTTTGTAAATAATTTGGAGCTTATGTCAGTAAAGCAAAAATCTTTTGATATAATGCATATCTGTGTTGTACCAACAAGATATATCACTTTGTCCGGATCTTTTAACAGATTTAGGAAGATATGTAGATCAAGGCAGGGCAACGGGCTGAAAATCTACGAAGGACAGAGTACTATTAGGTGAGATGTAGATGCTGGAGTGAGCTTTAAATCCATCACCCATGAAATTTGTATTTAGGACAATCCAAAACCTGTTTATAAATGATATTTCAGTTCCATATATTTGAATGATAGATGGAGTTGTAATTTAGGGAGCAAAGACCACCTTCCAAAGTCATCTCAACAGCCTTTTCCTTGTAGTATGTGACGTGGAGGTTGATCAGCCTCCCTTAAACAATGTAATTGTGAAGCACATCCAGGCTAAATGTTGCTTATTGTGCTGCCTGGTTTAACGACCCAGCTTAAAGGCTTTACAGTCATTGGGCATAATTTCCACAGACGGTGGATCTCAGCTCTGGTTCAACACATCTATTGCACACCCCTTTCTACCTGTAAATGCCTTTGAGCTCTCCAGGCTCTGCAGTTGTCATCTGTGTATGCTCAGCAGATTGCTGACAAATCCCGTGGCTCTGTGAGTGTCTGACAGTGAAAGGAATGCCCAGATGTTGAGACATCAGCCCTCTTAGGAGACATCTAGAGCTGAGACAGATAGAAAGTACTTGCAGTCTCTTACCATCTGCTTTATTTCTCCCATTTGGTTTGGGAGTGACCACTCAGATATCTGACTGAATAGACAGAAAAAAAGCATATCAGGTTGATCCCTGCTTAGCCTGTTTACTGGGCTCTGGTATCTTCAGGCATTTGTCTATGAAGCTCTGTCATAGCCTTGTCTAAAGCAACTTTTATGTGTAAAGAGTGTGCTTAAAGGTAAAGTCTATCTTTAGCACTTAGTTTTTAATAAGGTTGTTGATGAACACTAGTGTCTGCTGGTTTCTGGATATGTATGTAGAACTTCAGTATTATAACATGAATTGTAGAAGGGATAAAAGAGGTGCTGACACCTCTAAGCCATTTCTTGGTGGATATGTTACTTAATATTTTACATTTCTGTACCTCAGTGCATATGAAAGAAGTCCCTGTGTGATTCTTTTAAGATGCAGAGAAGAGGATTTATAATGAAAAAAAGTCTGCATTGAATGTTTTAGATATATTTCCTCTGCATCTTTGTAGGGCTACTTCTTAAGAGGGTATTTCCCAGGAATTGTTAACTATCCACCCTCTGGGCTCACTGGAGTGGAAAGCTAAAGATTTAGGTTTTCAGTTCTTACATTTTTCAGCAATTATTTGAAGCCCAATCCTGCAAGTGTGCACAAGTCAGAGTTTAATTATAATATAGGTTTTTTTATAGGATCAAGCCCTTCGTGTTTTTCTGTTGCTACATTACTGTTCTCATCTTCATCTTGAGTAGTTCTTACTCATTGGTCTACTTTATTTCTGGAACAGCGAAACCATAGCAGCTAAATATTAGGAAAACTTTTCATTAAAATAGCTCTTTCTTCCTCTATGTTTTCTGTTCATTTGCAAATAGATTAATATTTTTACTTTTATTAATCAATGAACTTAAAGGCCTTCCTTACAAGGAGTTACCTGCTTTAAAGTAGAAAAGTTTTGTGCTATTGTAAGGGCATGTCACAATAACTGGTAAGAATTTGGTACGGATGAACGTCCTTACTGTTGAACAGCACCCTGTGTGGCTGCAGTCAGCACAAGTACTGCAGAGTTGTTGGAGGTCGTTGTGTCCAAGGCATTCAAGAACATTATCCTGAAATGTCTCAGCAGTTTCATACACTAAGCCATCTGTGGGCAGTCCTCCTTCAGTGTGTGTTTGAGAAGTCCATTGCACAGCCTGTCCCTGGTCTCCACTGAGTGGTTAGCCATTACTGCAATATAAATAACATTCATCATCCTTTAGGCTGGCAGGTAATAGCTGTACTGGGCCAGAGAGCATGGGGCTTTCTCAGAAAGGAAGACTGAACCAAAAGTCCTCAATGCTGCTGATATGAGTAGTGACCTCAATAAGTTAATTTTGAGGCTGACAGACTCAGATGGGTAAGGGCAGCTTGGCCTCTCAGCAAAACTCTGAGCATCTCTGGCATGCAGTGATGCGTTTTATGGTGCACACCCTTTTCCTCCCCAAATTCTGTGTTTCACTTAGTGGTTGCAGCCTGCTGTAATGGATGCCACAGCAATGCACGTGCAGGGCGAGAAGCACCATCCCCTCACCAGCTTTGCTTTCATGCCCACCTCATTTCCTCATCTGTCTTCAGCTCCCAACCTAGACTGGAGAGCACTGAAAATACTGTAAAAGGGGAAAGCATGAATAAGAGAGGTTAACCCAAACCCTTGGGTCTCCATCCCCCAGCTGCCTGCCAGACCTGCATCATGGACCTCTTGTAATGAGCCCGGGTGGAACTTCCTAATGTGAATTCTTCAGTAACTTAAAGACTTTGTAAAGCACAGAAGCTAGCAAAAGGATTTGCTTCATGCTGTCCTCCTTCCCCTCTGGCATTCGGGCAAGCTGCGAGAGAGTCACTTAGGGAATGATATTTTGACTTAGTGATCTCATTCCGCACATTATGTTAAATCATTTCAGCAAGAATACCTATTAGTAATCATTTCCAGTTCCAGGGAGGATGAAGGAGGCGTTTTGGCACGTGACTCAAAACCTGCTGGGCTGCTTCTTCAGGCTGGCAAAACAGGGGAACCGTAGTGAATTCAGAAGTTTAGCTAAACAAGCCTGAAGTTTAATTCTCCATGAGTGGCTTTGACTGTGACGTGCCTTTGCATGGCAAAGGGCTTGAAACCTGCACAGCTGCACTGAACTGTTTGGGCTGCTTCCTACTTAAAGATAAGGTATATAATGAAAAGATAAATAAACCCTAATCTAGGTCCTGCTAGACAGAATGGAAAGATGCCCAACAGCTTCTGTGAGCATTGGATTGAACTATTCATGAAAATTAATGGCATGCAGAGCTAATAGGCTGTTCCTTGGCCTCAGAATTATATTGCACCTTCTGGGA